TTTTTTTTTTTTTTTTAATAAAAGCAGCTTACTCTTATCTGCAAAGCCAGGGCAAAATTGGTCAAAGTGGCAGCTATGTTCAGCACTGCCTTTCTTTGTGGAGATACCAAAAGGCAGGATTGGAATTGCTTTAGCCTGGTGTTAACTTCCATTTTGTCCTCATTTAAAGCAGTCATATTATGGGGTAGTTCAGACGAGAAGATGACTGCTGCAAAGGATGAGTTTTATTTTTAGTTGAAGACAGTGGCAGATGGTTCCCTCAGCGCAGCCGGCGGGCTGAAGATCTGGTGATGGGAGTTGTTTTGGTGGGGGTTTCTTCCTCTCTTAATTCTGCCGATAGCTCTAAAGAGAGTAAAATGTGTCAATAACCAGCACTCCACTGCCTTGAACAGAGAAATCTCCAGGCAACCTCCACAGTGCTCTGAAGCCCACTACCAAAGGAACATCCCTGTTGGGCCAAATCTCTAGTTCTTCTCCCCTTTCACCTTTCAAGGGCACATGCAGGATGCCTTACCATCCTCAGAGCTGTTCTCCTCGTCACTGGAGAAGGTGATCACAGCTTTTTTGCGTGGATGGCGCTTTTGGGCACGCTTCTGGTTTCGGAGGGTGCAAGGCTGGGGTGTGACAAAATCTTCATCATCCCTGTTGACTGGGCTCAGGGGCTGGCGGCACGAACCTGTCAAAAAAAAGGGGAAAAAAAGAGAAAGGTAGCAGCCATTATCTCTGGAAGGGTAAGGAAAAACCCCTAGGTGTCTCTGCTGGACTGCAGGATTACAGGGAAGGCTGCAGCCTCACAAAAAGAACATACTTCTTATTGTTTTCTGCTTGGCTGGCACTGACACTGGAATTTGACTGCCTTCCTGGCACGTCTCTGTTGAATCCAGCCCTCGGTTATGGGAGGCAGACAGCTTCTGCTCCAGCTCTTCAGCTAGAGCCTGATGGAGATGTAAAACAGTGCAGGGGGGGAAAAAAGAGAAGGTGAAGGGAGATAAATATTACATCCATACCAGAATTGCCATCAAGTTAAATAAATAAATTGGTAAATTGTTAGGGATGAGTAGTAGTCTGTTTAAAATGGAAAGCTGCAGGGTTTTCCAATCAATATATGTAAAAAGCAATTCCTTTTCTGGCCTGGACACTTGTCCGATATCCTTACTTTAGCCTCAGGTTTGACACCTGCTCTGCGGAATCGAGCCAGCACAGTTTGGAAACAACTGTAGACAGCTGGATCTTGGAGCTTATCTGCAAAGCAGTCAAAGTTGTCCTGCAGCTTGTGAAGGCCCCGTTCCGAGACTGGAAGCAGAGTAAGGCAGTGGGACAGATCCCGGTACTGACGCTCCGTTCTGAGAAAGACAAAGATTGCCATTAGCTCTTACAAAAAGGGGGGTGTGAGGGTGAGCACATCTCACCTAGAGCTACAGCATTTCCTGCAGGTGCTTCTGCCTTGCAGAACATGAGATTGAGGTTGTTCTGTTACAGGTCAGTGACAAGGTGCTGTGCCATACCACACACAACCACCACTGTATGCCAAAGACGCTGATTTAGTGTCTGTCAGAAAAACATGAAGGCTCCACTGCTGAAGAACACAGTCACTTGTCTAGAAAGTATCAGTAGTTATTGCTGACTAGGAAGAAAAGATGACTCAGTGAGGTCAGGACTCCTCTTGAAGGGCCTTATTTCAAATCAATAGTAAAACAACCCTGGCTGCTCATTTTTGCATGTTTGAGATGATCTCAAGCAGAAGCTGTATTTGATGTTCTCTCTCCCTCTCTTTGCTGGCCAGAAAAGGACATAAAGAAGGTCATATTCATTAAGTTATGAAGTCAACAAATAACAACTGCTGTATCAAAGGACTACATTCAAATTCCAGCAAAAGTTATAGGGAAAAAAAACAAAGGGAAAGAAAAATAAATGCACAAACTATTAATGTAGCTCACCGTGATGGAATGGGAGGGGAAAAAACTGAGGCCAAAGCCCCTATTATTAATATATACTAAGCAGAGGGCCTGAAGTCTGTCTGCATCTGCTCTGTAAGAATGCTCTGCTAAAACCTAAACAGATGGAGAATAAAGCTGCAGCATCCAGGTATTTACATCTTTAAAGTCTATATGATACTTGGCAAGTTGCTACATTTGGAACTCCAGAAATGCTGAAGAGGGTGATAGTAGGGGCAAAATCTTCTCTGATAAGCTCCTGTTTTAACCTGGAGAGAGAGCCTTGCTTTGGCATTACCACTAGCGTTCATCAGGCTGATCATCTTTGTGGTACAGAAATATCAGGACATTTTACTGAAGGCTAGACACAACTCACACAAAGATGGTTATTTACAATGTTGTGTGAAGAGCTCACCAGTGTTCCTGGGAGGCAACCTGGGAGAGAGGGACCACTCTCCACTCCAACTCAGGAAACAAAATCCAAATCTTTTGGGAAATATGCAACTCCCTGAGGCAGCTGAGCAGGTCACATGCCCAGGCACTGTGTACAAATGGCCAAGATAAGCAGACACAGCTTAAACCTCAAGGGCAAAGCCACAACAATGGGGAAGAAAAACCACAGGAATGGAGGAGGGCAGGGTGCACCAAAGCCAGTGGAAGTTAAAATGAAGATATCATTGGAAGTACATGACAGGGAGGCAGATAAATTTGTTATCTTTCTTCTTGGGGAAAAAAAAAAAAAAGGAAAGTGTACACCTGGGTTACAGCTTGGGGAACAGGCAAAAAGAAGCAAAAAACTCTAAAACCTACAAAGCAAAATGATATCCCAGATTCATGGGGTAGGCCCTGCACTATATACTCTGTAATCAGCACAAGGAGCAATGCATACATGTCTTCCAGACAGAGCAGAGCAAAAACCTAAGTGAAGCCCTTGAATAACATAATTAAAAAAACCCACCCAAAACAGAGTCCCAGGCATAGAGTTAGTACTGAGCAGCCCATGCACATAGACCAAGGACAGGCCTTTATCAACTGTCATAGCTGAGATGACTGCTGGGGAGATCCCAACTTCTTAGTTGAACACACTGATTTCCTAGCTGAGCTACAAGGGAATAGCCAGAGGAGAAGGACCACAAAGATACGTAAAACCCGCACGTGGGATGTCCCCTTGCTCAGCTGTAATGCAGATCTAAACTGTCACAAAACTTTTTTCCTTAAGAAAGGAGGGAAGAGGGGCCAATCACTGCCTTAATTTATACACATTTATTCATGTATTTTTAGGAGGAAGGTAGTTAAAAAAAAACCTGGGACCTAATCCAGGTTATGTCAGCATTTGTCACTTTGCTACATGAAGATTATGATGGGAATCTGTAACAACTATCACTATACAACAATATAACTATACAAGCTTGTTTCCTCTAACAATTCCTAAGAAACAAAAGTGCTTGTCAGGAAAATTAAGATTACAACCCAACCTGGCAGTCCGGAATCGCTGACAAAGTTTCTCCACCAAGCTCTCTGTCTGTTTGTCTTTTGTAATATATGAGAAGAGATGTCTGCAAGGGAAAACAAAAATGGCAAAGTTGAGAGCCCAGAGAGGAAACCTCATTTCAGGTAGGAGGGGTGCTGAAAAGGCAGCAGTGCTGACTTCCTTCTGTCCAGTTTTAAGAGCAGGCAACACTTTCAGATGATCTCCTCACTTCACAAGTTGCACTGACAGACTAGTGTGTTTGAGAAGCAGACCTTGAGAGTAGCAGTGTGGCATGCAGTATTTTTCCCCCCTTCAAAGCCATTCTTGTGACTTTTTCATTATTAATTTGCTGAAAGCGTGTTGTATTTTGGATCAATGCAAAAGTGAGCATTACTTGCACTAAAATGGGAACAAAGCCTAACAGAAGTTAAATGCTAACGTAATCCCATTTTTTCTTAGTTTCTTGAGGAACAGAGAGATCTGGAATTTCACACAATTAAGTACTTGTGCATTTTGCACTATGTCCTCATAGAAATCACTGAATAACTTCTATTTATTAAGAAGGTCCTGCTGTCCTCCATTTTTCTTGTACCAACATTTCTGTTAACTTAAGCTCAGTCAGGTTGCCACTGGCCTTGATATAATTGCTCTAAAGCACCTCTGTGTTCAGTCTTTGTTATGTCTTCAGCATTCACACCAAGCTATTTTTCCAAGATACAGAACACAGACAGCATTCTCAAGAGTCCTCCCTTTGCAGTTGTTCCAGCATCAATTCATCATTAACTTAAGTGACCAGAACTGTGGTAGCACTCCAGGCAAGGTCTGACCAGCACTACCAATGCTTCCCTATACCAGAAAAAAACTTGACTGCTAAAGCAGGAACTGGAATGTATCTCTAACTTGAGCCATAGCTTTACAGAAGACGTTAAACAACATTTAAACATTCAACTTCATGCTTATTATGCTAGTTTTCATCTCAGTTATTACCACTGTAACTCTCTCACTCTTCAAGTTAGTCCTTTAATTCTGACGGTTCCCCCACTCCCCGTATCTTTTTTACATGTCCCTATTCTCTGGTTTGGCAAGTATCCCTGGAGTATAAGGCACTGCTTCATTCCTAGCTTGTGCTTTTGTCCACCATGGTTTCCAAGTTAAACCAGATCCTCTTCACTTTGGAAGGATTTCATATAGTGCTACATGGGGAAATAGTTCAGTTTCAACTACTATTCCCTTTTTTCCCCATTTAAAGGATATCATGTGGTGTTATAACTGATGATCAGGTCTTCTTCA